AAAAAAAAGGGGGGGGGGGATGGCCTAAAGCCGGTTTAGCTAAATTTCAGCTACAAAGCAAAGGAAGACACTCTGCCGACACTGGGATGATTTAGTAACTCCAAACAACTTTTCACAAAGTCCGGGTTTTCAGAATTTAACCATGAAAATTACGAAGTTTCAGTTGGAATCTCTTTTAAACCCTTCGTTTTAATTTACTGCATCGCTTAGCGGCTCTCCACTTTTGCTCCCCAGCATTTTCTTTTCCTTTACTTTATAAGAGTCTTTTTTACGTGAGTGGTTTTAAGCTCGTGATTTGCGCGTCAGTATGACACAACGTAAACTACGTAATTTTCTCTATTGCCCTGTAACAGGCCATACCAATAAACACGGTATTATTTTATTTATAAACTCTAAAAGATTTTTGCAGTGCAATATTCCTTTGGCCAGATTGGCAAAATCAGTGCAGCCAGACCAGAAAGTTTCACTTCTGAAGTGAATTCAAATAAGACATAACCGATAACAATAATGAGGTAACATAACCCTTACATAACTTGACAATTATGGCCAAGAGGTCACCGACTGTCGAGATAAATTTCCTCGACTCAATGATGTTACTAAAAAACTGATTTGTGCAAACGGTGTGTCTTAGTGTGACTATAATTTCCTGCTCTGCAATTGTATTTTTTAAAATTCCGACAGCTGTTCAATTCAAAGTATTATGCCCAAGGTATGATTGGTTCAGCAAAATCTTAAGAAACAGCCAACATAAATGATTAAAATTGTCTTTATCGCCACTAGCGAGTATACGCTCAATTCAAATTTCCGACTCCTATGACAGTTTTCATTTTCCCAAGCAAATATTTTGACACAGTTTCAATTCGTCCGCTTCCCTTTCGTTCTCAGCCGTGGTTTCATTTCGGCGGATGTTTAATGAAGCATTTTTTTTTTTTGGCGAATGTTATTAGCTTTATTTATTGTACAAAAATATGATCATCTTGACCGGGTAACTCTAAATCTGCACTCTTACATGTAGAATATATGATCGTTCAATTCGCTTTCTGTACAGAATTGAAAAAAAATAATAATAATAAAATAAAATAACCTCAAAATGACAACAGAAAAAAAAAAGATAAAAATAAAGAGATTGACTCGTTTGTATAATTTTAAGACCCTACATTTCCCCATGCGGGAAATTAGTGAAGTCAAGTTAAAGTTATTCCTCTTCTTCTTCCTCGTCAAATGAGTCCTTGAACTTTCCAGTTTTCTTTCTGTATTCTTTGCCTTTCCCCGAGGAACCTAAAGTGTCAGATTTTTGCTCCGGCTGAACATTATGAACGAGCGCGAGAACTGGAATTTTTTGTAGCGTTGAAGAAGAAGCACTACTGAGCGAACGGCTGTCTTCGGAAGCGACTGAAGCGCTATCGGGTGTTTTTGTCGACTTCGCCGCTAAATTTGACGCCGTTTCCTCGGTTGGTGCTTTAAAATACTGTCCTTTTTTCTGAGCCGATGAAGAACGGCAGATTGGAACTAAAAGAATAACACAGAATGACAGGGCTCCGAGTGGTACAAGAACTGTTCCAACCAACGTAAAATCGTCCAGCAAAGTATTAAACGTGATGGCGGTTTGGTCGACCACTGTTCTTGTGCCATCGCTCTTCTCCAGGTAAACAACAGACCTTCGTGGGATCAAGTAGCCGACTAGCATGAACGTGACGCCGATTAGAAGAATTAAAATGGAGAGCGTGAGCAAAACTAGAGTCTTTCCGCTGTAAATCGAAGACATGGACGCGCCACATTTGCACTCGTAAGGGCAGAGTTGTTGATCACCAGGCGTGTCTCCCGCGAACATGTGATGATGTAAGTAACGAATGCCGAAGCGAGATTCATCGCGGGATGTTTTTCCGCGCGTGGAGCGCGAACGCGTCTTTCGAGCCTTTCGCGACTGAGTCATGATAATCAAAAAACCTTAAAAAATAATCTATCTGAATCACGAGTGTATATAATTTGTAAAAAAGCGGCGACTGGCGTTCGCGTAAAATTTTTATCTTCTAGAGCAGATTGTTAGCCAGCCACTTGTTCCGACCATCTTTAGCGTTACCCTGGTAGCGTTTGCCGTGTATTTCTTGATGGCAGAAAATGTCAAAATCTTGAACAAAGAAGCCAAGTGGAAGAGTAAGCTTGTACGCCGTTGGGTTTGAAAATAATTACACCCTTTTCTTCCAGAGCCGAAATAAAACTAACTTTTTTGAGTGTCCGTGAATCTCCCAGCTGTATGAAGCTAAATGTTATTCATCTCTGTGATCTACATTCGCCGTCTATTCACGTGCCAAATGTAAAGTAAAAGCCACGCTTCGATCAGGATTTTCTTTAAAGCCCCTTTAAAGCCATACCTGAGCAGGAACAATATTCGTCCCGTTTCTTGAAATGAACTGGGAAAAGATTTGGCGATCAGCTAGTTTCCTTTTTCATGCCACTCTGGCAGTTGATTTGAATACGCTTAGAAACATGTTAATATCTTTTGTTTGCCCTGATCAGCTGTTGTTTCGCGATCGCGTTTTCCTTGCCCGACGCACACAATTTTCACCCTTCAAAATAATCTTTACCGTGTTGTGATTGGCTAGTGTTATCCAAATTGGGATAGTGGGCCTCCTGACTGGTTGAAAGTCGAACAATGGCTTTCCTTGAGGATTGTCCACGTGGCGGGAAAAATCTAATATCATACATTGTATCGGCGATAAATAAAACATCCCCCGGGGAATTACCTCTATTATTCGCTCAAAAGAGAGCGACTTAAACAGAAAAATAGAATGATTAAGAGATAAACTCCCCCGACCGTCTAAAACGCCCCCGTAAACGATTTATCAGCGAACGTTTCTCCTCACGAAAAAAAATCGAGGAAAAAAAATCATTTGTCTCGAATTTGTTTACTTATTCAGAGTCAACAGTTAGAATTTCGCGGAACAAAGAGTCGATAGGTTCAACTGATAAAACACAAAAAAGTGAAATAAAATAAAATCGGAACCAGCTTTACTTACTTATTCAAGAGCGCCGCTTTGGAGGTTTAATATCCCTGTTTTAAACAAAAGCCAGTCAAAATTGCATTAACCTTTATATGACATTTCCAAGGTAACCAGCCGAAGGTTTCGACAATATACAATGTGTGCATGATATTCAAATCCAGTCGCGATTAATCTTCTCTCTCCTTTTAAAATTACTAACAAAGTAAATAAATATCAACCTCGAAATTAACGCAAAACTTCTAACGAAGTACACAAAGAGGGAAACAAACTTTCCTTTATCCACTGCAGACGGTATGTAAAAGTTTTGAATCAAACAAGTGTCTTATAAATTAGTTATTCTTTTTACTTTGTTCCAGCTGATTCATTTGCCGCCCTCATTTACATCTGTTTAATGTTTTAATCAAAAATACTGATGAGTTCTTTAATTCTATCAAAACCAAACCTCGTGAAAAAAAGGCAAGAAAAGAGACGAAAACAAATGAAAACAAAATTCATCAAGCGCGTGTTCTTTTCAGTTACTGGTGCCGTATTGGATGTTTCTACGTTTACGATTTTAGTGAATATAGGGAAGGAAACCTGTGCGTGTTAGTATGCTAATGAGCGAGTGTTTGTTATTATTATTATTTCGCGAGGCAGACACGAGCCTGAGTTACTCTAGTGAGAGGTTATTAATCCAAATGTGTGGGTAGATATAAGGATGGAGGCGTGCGTTTACACTTGAGAATTGAGAACTTAATTTTTCAGTAGTCTGTTCATCCACCCACGAGAAAATTAGAATTGATAAAGAACCCGAAAACGTGGATATTGGCACAGGCTAACATTTGAGCTTTCTAACCAGCTTCCTAACTAACTTGAGCATTTGAATAGGTGGGTGTGTAAATGCTTAAGGGTGACGTTTTATATTTCCTTGATAACAACAGCTAAGTATCTACGTTAGCTGAAATTTTATACTAATAGGGTCTAAAACCGTTGATGAGCAATTCTTTTTCCCTGAAATGATAGGTGAAATTCTTATAATGAGATGAAAAGCCGGAAAAGTATACAGTGAAACCTGTATTTAGCGGACTCTTTTGGGACCCTCCGCACTAGTGTCCGCTTAATACAGGGTGTCCTCTCAAAACAGGTTCTAATGTGCTGCGCAATAATAGTTAATTATCAACTCTCTTGTAACACAGTGTAACACAGTGTAAGATCAAACACTGCTCATAGGAGAATGTCTAGTCAGTCAATGCATCAATCTGGAATACTCACTTAGCTTTAAAACGACATCGCTGAACAATGTTGAAGGAGTCTCAGCAAGACCTTTAGAAGTAAAAAGCTCTTGAAGTGTCCACTTATTGCAGGTTTTGTGCAACAAAATGGCTTAATATTGGTGTCCGCGTCCGCTTAACAGAGATGCCCGCTGAATGCGAGTTTATTTTACAGCAAATGTGGGAAGAAAATCTTGGGACTTCAGCTGGTGTCCAGTTAATAAAGGGTGTCCGCTTAATATGGGGTCCGCTTAATACAGATTTCACCGTAGTTTTAAATGTATAGTCGTCGGCTTTTCTTTCCTGTGCGTTTCAGTCACAGTATTGATCGAAATGAGACATCGATCTTCCCCGGCAATGCCCTGGGCATTTAATTCACCTCGTTGATGTGTCCCGAGGGGCGGAATTTGGAATTAGGGGGTGGTCATTATAGTTGGAATTTGTCACCTGAAGGGAGGGATGCCTCGGGGAATTTGACTCACGTTGCTCGAAATCGTGATGAAGCTAGAAGACATCGAAATTCCTTGTGTAATGTTTTGTCAAGGAAAGAAGAGCTCTCCAGATCTTTGTGATATCTTTGGAGGTAAATACATAGTTTTGCTTAGGAAAATGTAATCACTTTTACATTTTACAATTCTTGGGACACAGTATTCCGTGTCTGGGGTATCCCAGGAAGGGAAGGGAAAAACATTTTTCGACCTTTTTGGTCCGCGGGAGTTGAACAACCAAAACTTTAACATTTCAAATGCCCTGAGGAATGTTGAAGTTTCGAATCAATAGCTCGATCGAGTTTTAATTACAGTGTTAATTTCTGCCGTAAAAAATTTTTAATTCAAGCCACTGTGCAAGAAGGATCGGAACCAGGCCTTAGCCTGAGCTCACGATACGCGGCCTGGCTTCTAAGTCTGGTCAGTCCGAAGAAAGCACGTTACCAAGGCGACCAGGAGTCAGACAGCAAAATGGCGGACAGCGTACAAGTTGAAGAGCCACAAAGAAGAGCTGTTGGGGGAACTATAACGACAGGAAGGATTCACAAAGGTAACGATTTAGATGATCAGCTATATGTGATTCAGTGACTATGACTAAAAACGAAAGTTGAAGTGATTTCCCTTGATAGATGACAATTAAAAGGGAAAACATTTGCGTTCGATTTGGCAAATATGATCTGCCAGCAGTCAATGAAAATGTTTTAAGTTTAAGCTTAAGCTCAAATAGAAATAAGGTGACAGGTTTTCCAAGCTATTTGGTTTGCGTAAAGCAAGTGTTAGACTAAAGTAACGCCATCCTGCTTTCGTAACTATATCAGTCGTTGTCATTTGTTTTCATATTATTGAGCGGTGTGAAATGTTTTGTACCCCCGAAAAACTTTGATGTATTCTATGATTGATTGATCGGACGTTTGAAGAGGGAGTTCTTTGTTAAATCTTTTCTGACGGGACTTATTTACTGCCACTGTAAGCTACCTCATGGAAGCTTACTGAAGAGTATTCAATTGTTCAAATATAAACCCCACATCTCCCTCCTCAAGAGAAACTTTGCACCATTCAGAAATGCAGAGAAATACAAGAAAAATATGATCTTTGGGCGTACTTTGAGAATTTCATGTTACAGATTTTCAGCTGCTGATGCATTATTTTATCTTATAACAGGTCATGGAAAGACAGTGGCATCAGCTTCTATTCCAAGTAAATATCAGACAATAGTGAGTGACAACTCAGAGAGGAAAGGTTTCCTTTCAAGATCCAAGCGCTTTGAAGGGATGAATGTGGTATGTACAGTAGAATAAGATTTGCTCCTATATGCAAGGCATAGGAAATTATGAACTATGTGTACTTAATTGGCCACTCCCCATTGGGGCTTTTCAGGACCAATGTAAACAAACAACGATAAATAAATATTCACATAAACATAACTACCCTAGGTTAACAATCCCAACTGGCAGGTCAGGCAGACCAGTTGGTTATTTACAAGTGCAGCCGAGAAGTTGAACTTTGAGCTACCAAGAACAACATCAGCTGGCGGTCAGAATGGGATTTGAACCTGGGACCTATGGATTTCAAATCTGGCGCGCTAACCACTTGGCCACGCTGCCTCCTGTGACGCAAACTCAAAGCCATGCCATACTTACATGTATTTATTGTCTAGTTACATTCTAAACTTTTAAATGCACCACTATATTACCTGACTATAGTTATCTGACTGTATTACTGCACCCATATTCGCAATTAGTCAATCAGAAGCCGAGTCTACTGTCCTGATATCCTGTGATATCAAGTCACTGACCTGATATGACTACAATATCATAGTCACTTGGCCGAATACTGTTTCTGGTGCGCTTTGGCCGCATATCAGGTTTGTTTGGCCTTGCCATGGGTATTTTGGCACAACTACTGTACGTATTGCCAAAATATGAACCATGGCTTACCAAACTCGCTTGATATGCCATGGAAGTGTATCATAAAGGTATGATTAGGTGTAAGTATCTATTAGGCTACTGAAATTTTTCTTTTGTGATATTTGGGTTTCTTTTGTCATTAAATTTATTTATTTGCTTGGTTTTATATAATTTGAGCAAATCAAGTGTTGTTGTTATTGTACTGGAACCATTTTTCAATTTAACTTCCTTGAGATTAATGCAAGTAGTGTAGTATTTTTAATAAAACATTGTACAGCTACATTTACTTCTTTGCAACACATTGATACAAGGTTTTAAATATCTTTTATTCAGAGTGCAAACCCAGGACCCGGGACTTATGGTGAGCTGAAATCAACTGAAACTGCAAGCTCTTCCTTCTCCAAGAAAGGTTTTGGTGGATTTGCATCCAAGGTTAGCATTAAATTAACAGTAAGAAATAACCTCCCAAGAATAAGACTACCAATAATTTGCAAATTTATGTAACCTCTATTAATTTGATTATTTTTTAGGACTTAAACCCCAACATTTATCAACTGAAAGTAACCTGCTGCAAAAGGAAGTGGGCCACCCTAGATTAATGTTCTCATGATTAGGAACTGTTACTCATAAAATTATCTAGAGCTATTTGTGCCACAAAGTTCAAGATCTGCCATGATTATATGACGACTTCTGAAAACTCCCAGTGGAGTGGGAGGGGTAAAGTGGGATGATTAATGAAATGGTTGAATACATAAATTGTGTATGTAGTAATAATTATTATATAATAGCTAACTACATTGTATAGTTACAAGTTATGGCAGCTTGGAGGGTTATATTTTGAATAAATGTATTTTTCTTACTGATGTATAGCTACATAATAATTTTGCTGCAGGCACGGCGTTTCCCAAGAGGAGTTAAGAATACAGGTCCAGGCCCAGGTAAATTACTTTGTATGCACAATCCCCACTTCCTGCTCATCATAAGCTATCCAAGGTATGCAGAATTTCCACTGCATTTTCAGTGTCGTTAAGATATGCAGTGGTGCAATGTTAGTTCGAGATCTAAAATTTATGGTTATGTGACGTCATTGCCATTGCTATCATTTGTGGTCATGTTCTACTGACAGTGTTGTAAGGGCAGATTCAGACCTTGTATCGAGTTGGCTGTTATCTCCATGTAATTTATATTAAGACAAATATTTTTTTCAGGTCTGTATGATCCCTCAGTGTCAAGAGAACACAACTTCAACAAATCTACTGTCACAAGGTACAAGTCAAGTAGGATGGTGACTTTTTGAAACACAATAAATTGTTTAGTCTCTAGTTTGCAAGGTCACATGTAATATTTTCAAAAGAACTAAAATATAATCCTGCCAATATTCAGGAGGGCTCATTGTACTGTTCCAGAGCATACAGTAACAACTATCTACATGTATACCCTTCCCTCAGAAGACTCAGGCATATTTTGAGTACCAACCCCTCTGGAAATTCCCATTCACCTTTCCTTCAAAATTTGGCCTTTGAAACCTCCTACCCTCTTTAGTCTCTTCAGATCTTCTTGGGTGTGCATATTTTCAGGACCTTATTATTACTGCAATAATTTAAAACACTATTTTTGCATGTAGGAATTTCCACCTTCCAATTGCTTTGCAAAGGGACATCAAAAAAGAACAGTTTCCAGCACCTAACCAATATTCAGTAAGTGCTTTTTTATCATTGATACCTTGTAGTGACAATCATGGCCAAACAAAGGCTATGAATGTGTACAGACTGAAGCATATCACCTAGTCGAGGTGATATGCTTCTGACATGTATTATACATGTACCCTTTAAAACATGTACATGACTGTGTTCAGCTGCAAAAACCAGCCATGGCAGAAAAAGTTAAACCTCTCTTTGGAAAACATTTTATCGGTAAAATGATGTTGTTGTACATGTTGATGTTTTTACTAGTACTCATTTGATATTATAAAGCTGAAGCTCTTTACATGCTTAGCAGACCTATGATACTATGTATGCTGTCTAATTTGAATTTTCATATTATGCTCATGACAGGTTGGTCGAACTACAGGAAGAGTTGTTTATGACAATAATGTTGCAGCTTGTGCTGCATTTCAATCAAAGTAAGAAACCTTTGATGTCATTACCAGTTCATAAATTCTACTGATAATGGTTGTGTCAAGCTGGGAAAACTGATTAATGTTCTCAGAGTTTTCTGGGCAAAATTTGTCATTTTACTAACAATGATTGTATTATTAAAATTGATGAAAGTACCGGTAACTATTGGTGACTGGTATTATTTTTCACTTTTTCAGATCTAAAAGGTCAAAGGACTGGAGTACTGGAGCAAGCTATGGACCATCTCCATGTAAGATACATCAGTCTGTACCTTCTCTTTGAAAGTCACCTTCCTATCATAAATTAAAACTGATTTTACTATGTAATTCAGACACACCACACTTACCGGTATGACTAATAATATGCATACATATGTATGTAGGTACACTTGTTCCAGTGAGTACATATACTACTTTAAAGAGGTTCTCTATGGTGGCCATGTTAGATGGCAGGAACAATGAATAGCTGTTATTGCAGTTACCAGTGGCTTGACACACAAACAAGGCGAAAGGGTCAATTCTGCATTGTATTGACGCGTTTGCCTTGTTTGCATGCCTTTTAAAACAAAAGAATATTTGACTGCAGAATCAACTGCAATAACAGCTGTTGAAAATGGGAACATAGTAAATTCACCTAATTATAAACAATTATTTGATGAGGTTTTTGTGATACATTGTATCTGGAATAATCAAGGTTAAGGGTAAGTGTTGTCACCTGAAGCCAAAAACACTAACCAAGACCTTGTTTTGTTATACATTACAAATCTTTATCTTCAAGCAATTCCTCAATTTCTTGCAGGCTCAATAAAGCGAATCGACAAGCCATGTTCTTACTTCGCTGTCTGTGAACTTGACATTGCTCTTAGAAATCATACATTGCATGTGCAACCTACAGATTATTCACTAATCTGCAAGCAGATTAGTGAATAATCTGTAGGTTGCGCTGTTTCCCAGAATTAACTGTAGGCTTTTCGCCAATGAGAAGACAGATGATGACTACAGTGTATTATTAATAATGAAACAAATTCTGTTGTTGCTGCCATATAACATGGCTGCCATGCAAATCTCTGTGTATCTCATGTTTCTAGTTTTGGTCCCTTAATTTCAAATGTCAAGTTCGTTTCTTATCATTTTTTCTCACCAAGGTCACTACACAATCAATGACACGCTTGTAACAGATTCACCTAAAATCGCCACAGCACCCTTTAAGTCCACGACAGAGAGAAAGATGATGCAGTCTCCTGTGCCATACCCTGGGCCAGGGTCATATAAACCTTTTGAAAAAGTAGATGTTTGTACATCAAAGGAGCAACCAGGATTTCAGTAAGTAGAGTGTGGGGATTACACTAGATGGTGATAGTGGTATTCCTTTTTGTCAAGCTAACTCTGAGTTTTGTAATCAAAGTTTGGCTTTACTTAATGAATATCCCATAAATTTAAACAACTGCATGATTATGTAAAATGTACACCATGTATTTTCTTAGTTTGATCACGCATCCCAATAGAATCACAAAACATTTTGTACAATACACCCACCACCCCTGTGACTAAAGGTAGTCTGAATGAACTTATGAAATAAGAGCAGGGGGAACAGCCAAACCTAAGACTGTATAAAAATAAAGCTGGCACAGTCATACACATTTACAAGGGAAAACCTGAAATTTGAAATAAACACCCTGTACAATTAATATTGTATTCAAAATATAAACCCAATAAATTTTTATTTAATAGAGGGTGGACTTTTTAGTAACTTCTTTTTCTGGACCATAGAATGCAGCTGGAAAAAAATACTTTGGTTCAAAAAAAAGCTACATAACTATATTTACTGGACTGTGCATTGCAAATTAATAATATTATTGTGTTAAAAGTTTTGTGTACAAGTTTGACTTTTTCCTTACTTTCTCCTTGCAGTAACAAGCACTACTTGTGTATCTCGGCACCTGCGATGCCCCTCCCACCCCTTGAACCTATGCCAGGTCCTGGTCATTACAATGTGGTTGATTATGAAGGCCCCCCTAAACACTACATGTCTAGTTCTGCCTTCGTCTCAACGACCAGTCGATGGACAGGGGGAGTACTTGGAGAGGAGGACTCACCAGGGCCAGGTATGTTAACCACAAAACAGACAGCAATAGTAATTAACTACACGGCCTGGGACCAGGTGTGGTTCATGTTGTACTTATCATTAAGATAATATAATACATGTATGTCATTTTAATATACACTGTTGTCTATTTTAATTGTGAAATATGCATGCCAATCTTTTTCAAATGAAAAAGCAAACAGACAAAAACAAAAAGTGTGATTCAAGCTGCTTAAAAATGATCTAACATGCACTTTGATTAGAATTTTTCATTTTGCCCTTTCTGTTCATTGGGGTTTCCATTAATTACCAAGAGGGAATCTCTTTAGCACTTTACTTATTAAAAATTTGACATTGTTACTAAACAGTGTTTCTGAAAAGTTTTCTCTGCCTAAATATGTACCGGTATGTACACATACATTGTATGCTAAAATTACCATTGGCAACATCAATGTTGAAGAATCAAAAAGACAGTACCCACAACTGAGCACAGTTTGCTAACCAACAATAGTTTCTGCAATATTATTATCAATGGTAAACCTAATTTTTTGCAAGTCCACGGTAAGGCAAGAGTGTTCATTGCTGACTAATTAAAAGATATAAGAGTTACTTTTGTATTTAACAGTTATCGCAACTTTTTGATTCATTACAGCAACCTATCGACCACAGCATTATGGCAAACAGTCGTTCATCTACAATTCACAAGGAAGATGGATATAGTCTACATCCAATTTGCAATTTGCCTTTAGTGGATTTTATTACCAAAATAATTTATGGACTTACTTAAAGTTATTAACAAATTAATATACTTGTTTTAAAACATAAATAACTATTGATCAAAATAGGAACCAGATACAATGTACATACATGTAAAGATGTGAAAACTGTACTGTTATATTTATTGTCAATTTCTCAGTCTGTAATTTTGGTGTTTCTAGATTGCAAATTGCTCATATTCATACATCACATATTTTCATTGCCTAATAAAGTATATATTAAGTGCATGTAGATAAATGCAAAAGCTTAGGTTGTACATTTTAAAGCTTGTGTAAATATTTCAAAAACTAAAGTTATGTAACACTTACAGATTATGATATATGTGTTTTTTTTAGTTTGAGCTCTGAAGAAAATTGAGTTTCAAGTTCCACCATGATTTTAAATTTTAAACCCACATTTATCAACCAGGTTGTAGGCACTACAGAATGCATAATTCTTTAATATTATAAATATAATAAAATGATTTTAGCCATTGCTCCCAGAACCAAACACAAATCCCAGTGTGAGTACTTTTATAATGCAAAAATAAGACTTTATACTTTGGGATTAGAAAAATGTATTTTTATAAAATAATGTTGAGAGTTTTTTCATGCATGGTGTTAATGCATGTGAGGTTTGAAAAATAAAATTGATGTTAATTACAGGCAGGATGCATGCTAAAATGTGTGCTTTTGCATTTTTAAGATGCTGTATTGTGTTGTACAGTTTTGTGGTGTATGGATATGGGAATGCAGCAAATTGCCACTGACTGGCAGCTCCCAAACAGGTGTAAGTTGAAACCCTCGTAAACACTTGCTTCAAGTCCTTGCACCAAAACTGTCCAAAGCCTCCCTTCAAGAAAAACTCTTGATCATGGCTAGCTGCACATTCTTCTCAAAGTTTCTTTTAGTTGTCGTACCCATAAGTGGAAACTAGATATTATGCACTTCTTGGAGGGAGGGGGAGGGAATTTTGTGAACCAGCATCCTGCACAATGTTTAATTCATGAACAAGTGCGTAAATGCTTTGTGACAGAAATTGATATTTGAGGTACCGGAAGTGCAATTCATCAAGTTTAAACAAATAAAATCATGACCCTGTTGGCATTTGGATATCTGACCTTATAGATTTTTATGCTTTTATTTCTCTGTGTTCTTCTAAGATTTAGTTTCAATTGAGAAGATATATCAACCAATCAAGACAGTGTTTAACCACATTTCCAAACACCTCAAAGTTTGTCAAAAATACTCCGCTACGCGTCGTATTTTCAACTCTCTTCTTGGTGTTTGGAAATGTGGTCAAACACGGTCTTACGAGTTTGATATATTACCAGCACAATCTACAGATGAGACCTTTTGCACTTTCTCACCAAAATCTAAATACTTTTTCACTAAATTTATTTCCTGAGAGGCCCACTAAGATGACTGACAGCAGCAAAAACCCCTAACACTGGTTTTGAAATTTAAATTTCCGAGTTCCTACGATAACTTTATAGGAGGCATTTTGGTCCAGCTGGGCCGAAGACAGGGGCAGGGCACAAGACAGAAGTGTTTGGAGAGCGCTAGTTGCAGCCCTAATGCACCTGGCATGGAGAGAACTATGATAACTTTTTGAAAAGCACAGTCAGTAAAATTTATGTGGAAAGGCCAGATTTGTGTGAAAAAATCAATTGATTAGAAGCAGCATTGCAAGGTGTGTTCTGCAATTATTATTATTAAATAAATATATAGGGGTTCCAATGAAAGCTGTGTTTCATTGGCATTTTCAAATATTTAATATTTATTTTGTCAGTTTTTTAAACAGACTTTCCATCCCTTTATTTTGTTTTCAAACCATTTCTTGTACTTAATAAATCTTACAAAACCAGTCTGATGTTAACAAAAAGTACATTCAATACGAATTAATGCAATATCTTTCACAAGCTATTGATATACTCGTCTGACACTTAACTAAAATCACACACACTCTAAATCTGTAAAAAAAGATGAAAACAGTAACTTCTGATGATGTATTCTATACACTTTTTTGCTCTTAATATCACATGTCCCTTAAAGAAAAACAATTTAGTTTTTCCTATTTGAAAGACTACTTTTCTAGTAAATAGTTTGTTGTTGGGCTAGAAAGTAAATATACACAGTGTTTTAATAAGCTCTTTAGCTGACTTTCAGATACAATGATGTGCAGTGTATTTGTCAGCAAGTTTTCATTGATCATTATTTCGTATTAAGCTGTGAAATGTATAACATTCAGAAGTTTTTGTCTGGCATGTACTTCTGATATTGCTTGAGGAAATATTTAATATTGACTTCTCTGAAAATGACTGAGAATCTGGCAGCCTTTAGCAAAGATGTTAAATGAAGACTATTGTCACAGATAAGGAAACAACATTCAAAAGCAAAAACAAATTATCACAAAATTAATGATGGGCGTGTCAATCATTGCTTATTTTGCAAAAAAAAAAAAACCTTTAACAATCCAGGAAATTTGCAGCCATCAGCAACTCCAGTGCAATCTCCGGGGCGATGGGAAATTCTGGAATCTCAGTACTGCTGTTGGTGTATCGTACTTTGTACATGAAATAAGTACACACTTTGGCCAGCACATGGGAACTATTATTAATAACAGAGAGTTACGAGTTTGTCCTTGTCAGTTAAACCATACAAAGCCATGTCATTTGACAAAGATGGTGCTCAGAAGTGGAAAACTTAGTTTTGACAGTAGTAGCTATCTGTTCTGAACAAGTTCAGAATGCATGAGAAAATGTACAATTTGTACATTCCCAAAAAGATTGACACCACATTTTGATGGGTAAGTTACTTTAATTAGTCTATGGTAAAGGCTGTGTTAAGAGAAGCGGCCCATACAGCTGGAGCTTATCCTGATTTCTGTAGCATTAAGTGGCTAGGGGTAGATCTACATTGTTCTTCACCCCTAAGGGGTACCGATTCTAAAACAGAACATCTGTCATATTTTTCTGCTAAATACCCTAAAAGGTATCACAAAAGTTCCCACTGTGGACCTTTTTAGGCTGAACACCTCAGAGGTACTTAAAATTATTTCTTAACCCCTAAAAGGTACAACGAGCACTCTCACCCTTTTTATATCAGAGTCTCCCCCCTGGGAAGAAGAGCCTTTTAAACCAGTTGCAGGTCATAAAAATAATGTTTCTACTGCAGCTGTACTTACGGAATTTCTCTGAAGTGGACCTCATTGGTTTCATTCTCAGAAAACTGGCCTGCATAAGAAGAAAAAGGAAATTGTTGAAATTGTCATTGTAGCAGAGATGTTAACAATATCAAATTAAACTGAATATTACAACAATAAAATGTTTTCATTAAAATCACAGCAAAAGCCTGTAAAACTTTGAAAGAGATTTTATCATACTTAGTTTTACCTGGGCCACTTAACATAGCTTTGATTGTTCCTGATGTCAAGGCATAGTCCCTGTTGATTATGAATTCATGGTCATCACTGGAAATCAGCTTCACATACATTGCGTTTGGTCCTTCGCAGCCTCCATAGACTGGCTCTGTTTGGCCTTCATCAAGCTTCTTGTCATCACTGTCTGTCATCCTTTTAAAAGATAAACAAAAAAAATTAAGTTGAGAGAGGTTGGTACGTGCAGTACTGCAGCATAGACATAGAGGATATTACACAGTGGCGAGAAGATCTGAATTTTATGTTCAAGTGGCAAGAACTATATCTCACGAGAGAGGGCAGCAAACGAGTGAGATAATGTTTTTGCCATGAGAACATAAAATTCATGTCTTCGAGCTAACGTGTAATGTTCTTTTTATTACATAGACATGCTGATGACGCCATTTTTGACGATTTTCCGAAGATTTCTGACCACTTTTCGAAGATTTTCCAAAATTGTTCTGAAGGGCAGACGTACATTTCTGAGCATTTTCCAAACATTTCTGAACATTTTCCAAAGATTACGGAAGATTGCCGAAGATTGCCGAAGACGGCCAAAGTAGATTCGAAGATGTTTTGATCATACACCAACAAATTTAAGTGTAGTTAAAGGGACAAAAAAGAAATGTTATCAAACATGATATCTTCACATGTGAAGATATCATATCTTCACGTGTGAGGATATCATATCGTTTTTATCAATTTTTTACCACTCGGTATACCGCTGACTTTTACATGATAAATGTAAATATCCAGTGACATGAAATCAAAGTTACAGACTACTTGTTATGTGCAAAGTACTTTTAATAGCCTGGTCACTGAAAACTTGGTCACAAAAAAAAGATCTCTGTTTTAACTAGGCTAGCCAGCCTACTCAGATGAACAGTTCAAATTTTTCTAAAAGGTACAGGGATAAGGCAGGGCTGCAAATAACAGTCAGTCATCGGACATTGGCTGACCCAAATTTGCTTGTATCCAGTTAAATCCTGACTGTGGTTGGACATGATGTGTGGACTATTTGTTTTATTGTAAATCATTTTAAGGTAAGGATGCATAAAAATCTACCTTGAGTAAATCTTACTTTGTGTTCCAAGGGGACGACCTTGGATTCACAGCTTTCGTAAGTCATGTAAGTAACAAAACAATATTAAGATGGGTAATAAAGTTTTCTTTTTTATATGTCCTCTGTTTTACCTGAAAGGTAGCATTTTGATAATGCTTTTCAATGCTTTTCGTATTGCATTTCAATGGAACATGTAGGTTTTAAGGCCATCTCAACATTTTGAATTTTGAACTGAATGTGGAGATGGCAAGGAATTGAAATCCTCAGTATTTGCTATTCACTTATTGATATGCTCACACCTTAAATAATTCTAAAAGGTAATTTTCAGCGATCAGTGGCATAATAAAATTGCTCCTTTTTTCTTACATGGCAATAATATCATGTAAAAACCACTGGAATGCACACCGACTGACTTTTTTACGAGCCTCTAGGAACCTTTATAGGCAAACGCTTGTGACCATCACTCTTCTTGAAACCAAAAAATCTGCACAGCTGTCACCACGTGATATTCAACCATCTTTTGACATGCCATCTCTTAACATGCTATGTAACCTGGCCTACATAAAAAATGTTAGAACTTGACTTTTAGTCATGAAAGACAGATTTAGTTGACATTAAAATAAGGTTGGAGTATCAAGATGTCATTCTGTGAAAGATAAATCGACTGTTATGAATGTTTACATCTTTTGAAGACTAAAAGCGGTAGCGCCCTATTCTACTGGAAGTCACTATCGAGAGCTGATCGACTACACTCAAATCGTTTCGATTATCCTGTAAATTGGGCAACAGTAATAATTATCCTTTATTTGTCATTTTTTCCAATTACAACCAGAAAAATTGCTAGTTTCACAGTTAAATGGTCTGTTATCAGTTTGCATAGCACATCGAGAGATGGCATGTCAATAGATGATCAAAAGATGTTGCCTATACATGTAACACTGAAAGCAGACGTAAAGGATATAAAGTTTTGAACCTTTTTTGGTGATGTTCGGCCAAAATTTGTTTTGTGGACCAAGATGGTGTCTATGTGCTTTCAAGACAAAAACAATTATTTGCAGCCCTGTGTGTAAAAGGGGCTATCTCAGAAACTGTGCCAAAACTGGAGAAATGATGAAAGCGTGCTAAAAAGGTGCTCGTTTTACCACAGCATACACTTGGGTTTATGTTTTACTTATAGAAGCTTGACTGTCTCTTATCTTACAATTGAAAACAAATAACTTGTTGCTGAAATACTACAATTACAGAATTGAGCAAATTTGTTCTTAGCAGAAAGAAGCAAGTCTGATTTTAGACATGACCACAAATTTTAACTGTTTTGAACCTACTTTATCCTCTCAAACGAATCAAGTTTAAGACTGTAACATATGATGTACACAATTCTAAAATGTCTACAACCGCATAAATGCATCGGCTTCATGCTTCAGTTGTTCGGTGTTCTCTAATCTATGCCTGACAAGCTTTATGAGTAAAACTTGAGTTAAATAGCCTTTAACATAGTCAGACTTAAGTGGCCTTGCTAATAAAAATTTTCAAATATTCATGTGTCAAAAAATGCATTATTTCAATTTAATTTGATGTTAAAACCGGCGAAATATATAAACATTTCTACGGTGCACTGTCTCGTTCAGAGAACTGTATCGCTTTCAACAGAAATACAAAAACAACGATATTACTTTAACCTAAACGACAAAGAGCTCTTCTGTTACACAAGACGACGACACAGGAAATTGTTCCGTGAAAAACCTTTCGACCATGCTTAGCGACAACATGCACAATACACTTGACTCACACAACAAAGACGAGCGAGAAAGCCACAGAAATTCGTTCAGTAGAAGACTTTATGCCTGTACTTACCTCGCCGAGTAGTCAGGCTATTCAGACGTAGGCTGAAATCACCTAAAAATGTCAAAAACAGAACAATAATGGACCTTCCACTTTCTCACTTCAACGCTTCTGAATAAACCTGACCTCAGTACTTGATCCCAGATTCTTCGCGGTTCCAAGTGGTAAACATGACCTGGAAACTAGGGAATCTCTAAGCCCGCGAAATTCGCCCGCGAAAAGTCGAGAAGGAGCGCGGAAAATTTTCGTCCATTGTTAAAAAAAAAAAACAAAACCCCCTACAAATAGCGACAAAAGTACCCCTTAGAAATTACAGCTGGGAGCAAATAGTCAATTCTGAGAGAAATCGCCTTGCCTCTTATCCAATGGGTGACAGCCAGGAATCGGGAAACGTTTTCTTAATACCTTGGCATAGCAGCGAGTTGTTAGAGAAACTTGACAATGAACAAGCTACTCATATGCATCTCACACAAAACTGTGTGTCATCAGGAGGCAGCTGAGGTTACAGATGAGAAGAACAGATCAAAATATAGAATTTACCCTTAAAAGAAGGTATTTGGTGGTTTCAGGTTGGGATGGGAAGATGGATGGGCATTACATGCTGATCAAAAGAACGCTTTGAGGTGCATTTGGATTACTTTTGTTCTGTGTTGTTGCTGTTTTTTTTTCCACAAGTTGATTTTTTAATGTTGGCTTGAGCAAATGCCAAGCATAGAAAAGTTAGGACATCCACTAACAGTGGGGCGGGCAAGGTGGGGGGTTCAGAACTGCTTCCCATTGTCTGTTCTTCTGCCTCCCATATCTTTTTCTCAAGACTCGCGCCCTTTTTCGCCTTGCTCCAATGCCGCTTGACCTGTAACATAACCACCTGTCTCCCATACCCCTGCCACTGCCTCTGCCCCATCTCCCGCCAGCTTACAAATCTCACAAAGAGAATAAGAAAAACATCTGCTGCTCTAATCTATTTATTCACACAAATTATATGTTTTGATCACATTTATAATTTATACATAATTTTCTAACTTACAATGTATTTCACACTAATAATTCTTGATGAAATTATTTTTGTATCAAAGGTAGCTGTGAGAGAGGAAGAGACAACAAAATTTATAAAAATTTCTTTTGGATGAGGTATTAATTCTCAACTGAACTTGTCTTTTGCACAATTTTAGGCAAAAGGGTAAAGACACTTTCTTAATATGAACACAGAAACCAATTATCTGCTAAAAAAAAATAATCACTTAAACAACATTACTGATCTTGTTCATGTCATTATTCCTCCAAATACAGAAGACTGCCTCCTGTTGGTGATTATTATCTCCGTTTATCCTATTATTTGAGGCTTTCCTAAGATGTAATTAATAATGATTTAAACAATAACATTATTTATTTATTTTTTTAACTCTAACCAACAGAATAATATATTCCTTTAAGTGTTAGACAACAATCAAATTCAAGAGAAACTGCAAACATTTACCAATTACCAATGTGCAGGGGGTAGTGAAGACAAGGGCTTATGTACAAAATTAAACATCAAAATCTATGTGAAATGTGAAAAACTGTATATTTCTTTAAGCCAAGCTACATGGCTTCATTTTGTGGCTCCTGCCCGGGCAAGACTATCCGCTGCTTCATTTCCTGCAATGCCTTTGTGTCCAGGAACATGAGTCTATAAGGAAAAAACAAACAGCAAGCAAGAGTAAGCAAAGTAAATGTATCTTGTGGCAACAACTTGCAAGTGGCCATGAGAAGAGTGGTATAAGGTAAGAGAAAAGAAAGTCAAGATAAACCTTTATGTAATACACTGATTTAAGTTTAAACTAAGAATTTTCTCTTAAAAATGGTACAAGACCCAGTTATTTGTTATTGACTACTGTTCTACCCAAAGATCTGCACTGATTTATGTACTGTCAAGTGTTTCACACACAACATTCTCCTTGTAGCTGAGATTGTGCACTACACAGAATGCTATGCAAACTGTAGTGTGGCTGAGAATAATATCTTTTACCACAATTGCTACTACATGTAATCTCGCAATCTGAATGGCTAATTTGCCGTTGTCGATAAGAGTCCAGATAACGCTGCTCACATCAGTGTGCCAGGCAATGCCTTTTTTAGCTTGTGCTCTGAAAAAAACATTTTCCTTGACGTTGATGTTGTGGTAAAAAACAAATCGAATGTGGTTTAGCGTTGTTTGTACTCTTATCGACAACGATAGGTGTCATCACAGTGGTCAAAATTTGTTGTCGCCTTACTCCGCTGCGCCTCGTGAGTCCACAACATTTTGACCACTTTAATGATGCATACTTGTTCTCGATAAGAGTACAGACAACGCTAAACCACATTCAATTTGTTAAATTCCCTATTGCTGCTTTTCAAGTGACATCATCATTTTCCAAAATAAGAAATTACCCCTCCTTCTGAAGTTTTAGTTGCATCAGATGAAAGACCCTCTAAAAACTTGACGTTTTGCAGCGTTTAAGCTCGACAGGGTTCCTCATTTTGAAATAGGGCACGTTTGAATTTCCAAGTTTATGCATTGTGTGACATTAAAATGGCGGCCCAATAAGGCTCTCGAGTAGGTCAAAAGATGAGTTATTGCACAAGTTTTTGCTAACTAAGCTAGTTGTTGCTCTATAAAAAGTGTTAATTTCAATGTGTCGGAGCTCTAGAGTAATAACTTTTCATTTCAATGGCAAAACTCGATGATAGATGTTTCTGTTACTTTACGGCCGCCATATTTGTGTCCCTCTGAGGGACACAAACATGGCGACTTCATACAAAGCTCTATAAATTTGAGTGAAACACTTCTCCGAATAACGGGAGAATGAAAAACTGCACAGACCTAAATCTCAGCAAGGTTGTTTATATTTCAATCATCTTTCATATCCTAGCTTCTTGACTTAATTTATTGAATGGTTATAATTTTTATTTTTGATGGCGTGACACTGCAAACCAGCCATTGGCAGGGCATACATGCCCTTCAAGATCTTTATTTACATATATGTGCACACATAATTTACACCTGTGCATGCTTTAAATTTGATATGTAGGTCAGACTATGGCAACAATAGATCGTTTTCATGTGATGTCACCACTTTCTAAAATCCAAAACTAAAGAGCCACTAAAGTTTTTATCCTCATCAGGCACAAGAGGCAGTATATTTACATCTGTTTATAATTTTACAGCTCAGTAGTGTGCTTTGTTTTGAAACCAGAGCATTTTGAATTTCAGGGTTATGGAGGTGTGTGACACAAAGCTACAATCGAGTTTGTTGAAAAATATACACTTATCTCATGATTTTGAGCCTTTTCAGAAGTTAGCGCATTAGGAAAAGTGCTTATGTAAATGCTTGTTTGTTCAGTACTGATAATCAGTCACCTAGATAGCCAAAGTAAGTTCCAGATGTTTACACTATTTTCTGGCACCACATTGGTGTACCACAGTTGTACATCAACACGGCATTGTCATAACGGGCTCGGTAAATTCCTGCGAAACATTTTGACGAATATCTGAAGTTTGGGGAAACGCACAGGCCTAAAACTTGGAGGGGTGCCGTATTTAGTTATCTTCTGTAACATCACAATTTCTCAGCTTTTTCCACTGGATGGTTTTTGATTTATTTTTTTATAATTGTGTGACAGTGAAAACGATCTATACAGCTGATGTGGACCTATTTGGCCCTGACACACACAAAAAAAACTTTGGTAAAACTTTACAGTTGCTTTTATCTTCAGTAATTTTAGTGCAGACTAGGGTTTGCACCTCATGTTTAATATTAATATTTCCAAATTTGATTAGATTTCTTTTTGCACAAAATACTCTCCATCAGAAAAACAGATCTGAATCAAAATACAGCTTACCCATTTGACATCAATTTCATCACAAAGCTTGGACAGTTTCTGAAATTCATTCTTATTTTTCACTTCTGTTCCATTTACTGTCTTCCAACCATTCTTCTTCCATTTCACACACCAATCTGTAGCTCCTGACAATTTAACCAAGGAATTAACAACAAATTAATGCTCAAATCACCCAAATAACAACAGAAATGTGTTAACGAAAGCCAAAGTTTGACTTGTTGCCTTTCAAATCTAAGAAAACTTGCAGAACAAATGTGCAAATTAAACTTGCTGAAAAATCCGATCTAGGCAGGGATACTGCTAGGGCTTATTTCACTGCCTGAAAGAGACCATCCTTTAACTGGGCTGAACATTTACACAAATACAGTGCAAAGACTTGTGCAAAATTTGGAGCTGCCTAAAGACCAGAAAAAGCAGCTGGGCTTGCCAATAAGCCAGCTTACTGTATCCTTAGCTAATGCACTCAGCCATTCAACTGTGGCAAAAATCCCTTGGGAAAAAAAAACAGCAAGTAGCACATATTAAATCCTTACCATTTATAGTGTATTTGCTATCAGTCTTGATTTCCAATGTTTTATGTCCCAGATCTTTGGCTGTCTCCAGAGCCTTGACAGCAGCCTGTTGAAACAAACAAGCAGGCAAACAAACCTTAAGTTATTATGAAAAAAACCTTCAATTTCATATATATTGGTACAAATGTATCCTCACTGCAAGAAAAAGAATAGCTTGATCAGCCTGCAGAGGGCTGTCATCAATATTAATTTTTTACACATTTGTATGAGCTTAATCAGTTCATTTCTTGTGCATATATCTGTTTATGCAGAAAATAAGGACACACACAGAATAAGTCCACTTAAGTATTTGAGAGTTGCAAAAGAAAACAAGCCTTTTACCACAACGAAGTATTGTGTATATAAAACTTCAAGAGGTTACACAGCATGCAGTGCATGGTTCTCAAACCACCTCAATCAGACTCAGACTCAGGAAGGTGACTGATGACCCATCTTCTAACTATTCACAGAACTGCCTACCATTATTTCTGCCCTTTGGTTGGTTTGTTCTCCGTCAAGACGGTCACTTATATTCCTGAATAAATAAAAGATCAAATATTTAATTTGTTGCTTTCTGCAGATTTTTAGGAGTTGCAAAGCTTTTCATGATAAAGTTATAGGTGATAACTCAAAGACAGTGACTTCTCTCGACAGCAGTTTTCAATTGCATGTCGTAAAACCAAACACAAAATAATTAATCTTTCTGGCCAATCACAATGGTCACAACAATTCCACGAGCCAATCAAAACTCAAAGTAAATACATGTAGCACATGTGATGCAGGGGAAACGTGTATGGTTTTGGTTTTACTTCTGATTGGATGAAAAAATGACGCAAGTCTTTTCTGAGCCAATTTGGTAGTGTAGTAAATGCAAAACCAACTACTTTTGGACACTCAAGTAAAAACCACTCTAAAGTGACGTTCTTGGGACCAGTTGTAGATGTCCATTTTAGAGAGATGTCTGTCTTAAAGAAAGTTTAGTTGAAAACAAACAAGTGAAATTGAGTCAGGACTTGCCAGCCAACTGCTATATGTCTGCCTTAGGGAGGTATCCAGCTTACAGTGGCATGTGCTTTGAGAGAGTTAACTGCAACATTATACATTAAACTGATACTTCACATTTCATTTGATATCTAAACCAATTTTCCTAATTTATGTTCTAATGCTAGGGAGACCATCACTCAATCATTACCAATAAATTAATGAAATGTTATTCATCAAGGGAAGCACCAAAAAGTATGCAATAGTCATAAACCTCTGTCTAGACCTCATAGAAAAATACAGAAATACATCAAAGCCTAGAGTCAAGAACTGTCCTAAGAATATACTTTAAAAACAAGATGCCACAACACTAAAAGAAATACACACAATCACTAAACACGTGCAGATAGATATGTACCTGGTATTCTCAGGGCCCCAATATACACCAATACCAGCCCTGGCACCATTTCTACCATTCTTTGAGCAGCAACCATCAGTATACACGACAGGGCGACTGTTTGACGAGGACTCCCTACTATTTGAAGATGAAGACAAGGAAGGCCAGCTGGTCCAGCCTGAACTTGCTACTGAGCTACTGAAACTTTGTTTGTAGTACTTGACCCCTCTTGGGTTGGAGTAGTTGTTATAGCTACTGTTGAAGGTGTTGTCAAAGTGGTTACTCTCAGACATCTCATAGTAAGTTCGTTTCCTGCTTTCCTGTTGAAAGTAACAATATTGAGGTGAATACAGCACCTTTCAATAACATGTAAACTCTGCTCTATTGTGTTTGCATTTCGATGCCATCAATCTTCTTAGCGGACCTTTCAGGAAATAGAAGTTTTCTTCAACAGGTCACGTCTGTGGGTTGTAATTGATAGATTTAAATCCATTTTGTTCATTTCTTTTTCTCAAGGTTCATTGGTTAACATCATAATTATGATTGATGGCAACTAAAAATGCCATTGTTAGTTAAGATTTTTTGAACTCCAGATCGATTCAGAGTTTGCATGTTAATGAAAGGCGCAGTAAAACCTTCCTTTAAAAGTGAATGGTCAAGTACACTTGTGAATTGAGAAATTTTTGATCAGGGGTTGAGGACAGAATATAACACTATTAATTGACGAAACAGTTATAGTCTCCAAGACTCTACAGATGCCTGGGCAATTCCCCCAGGACTAAGATGTAAGCAAATGCCTGGAAATTGTCTGGGGGTATCAGTCAGAGCACTGCTGGGATTGACTGATGTTATCAATTAAGCAAGAATGACTCGAGTGAGAATTATTTCAATCAGCATGTAGAGTAAAACCTTACATATGGGGCTGAAACAGTTGAAGATCCACTAAATCCAGATCCTGATACAAATGTTTCAGCCTCATCTTCAGTGGAAAACTTCTTATATCTAGCACCAGGAAAGCCTTTGACATAACTCTCACACTCAGCCCTGAAACAATAACAAAAAATATAGACATAAGGAAACCAGCTAACAACAGTGTAGGATGTTAGGTAAAATAATTTACTGATCGTATTTGAGGGAAATCACCTCGCTAGAAAGGATACAGTTCATTTGTCTGTTAAACCGAGTCGTAATTAGCGGGAATATTTAGAGACATTGGTATGAAAAATCCTCTCCTCACAGGAAACCAATCTATGTTCTTCAAATATTTGACCAAAAAAGTCTTCTGCTGGGTATCTTTTCCTTGAAACTCATAAAATACTCAGAGAGTCAATCACTCTCAACTTATTGGGCATCGAACTTTTAACTTTTCCCACATATTCACCGCAATTTTTGCTACAGTGTACGTTTGTCCCCCAAGCAAGATGGCGTCAGAAACCGTGAAACGCAGCCTTGGTCTGTTCATTGGCGCCCCAAATAGAATTTGCTATTTTTTTAAACAACCTGTTTCAATCTTGTTCAATTTGGTCCATCCACATTGAAGACTGAAATGGTCCAATCTAGCGTCTTCTTAATATAGCGTTTTCTTGAGAAGTGCAACCTTCTACACCAGCAAGAAACTGACTCGCTCAGAAAACATGAAGCGAAAGAAGTTGAACGAGTATCTGACATTTTGCTATGTATAGCATATCTACCATGTTTGAAATATTCCCGTCTTCCTTCCAGTCCGTACGGCATAGTAGCCGCCCTTTCGTCCCATTGTCAAGGCCTTTAAAATGTTCTGTAGTTTAGAAAGCATGAACGGCCAACATCAAAACCATGTCGAACAGAACGAACAACAACAGTCAACTGTTCAAAATGGCGCGAAGAGTTAACTGAGCAACCACCCACTAGTTTCCAATCTCAAACTGGCAATATAGGACGCCTGACGAGTTCCTGCGTTGAAGAGGATAACGAACCTGGAAGAGGGTATACTGACATCGATCGCAAAATCAAACTGAAAGAAGAATTTCTGCCGAGCAAATGACTGCAAAACTACTTATGAAAAATGGAAGGACAATGCAATGGAAAGCACCTCACGATATTGGGATAACTTGCTTAGGCCGCGTTCTTCACAGAACTGCAACGTACAGTCAAGGGGCAATTTGGATTTCCCGCGGTATGCAGATAAGTTTAGCTTTATCATATACAAATAGACCATAACCGGAATATTTGCATGGTATTAAAAATGCTGCTTAAATCTTTATTCCTGATTAACACAAATCAAAAGTCCCAAGGTGGGGTTGAGATGTCGATTTTAGTTTTATGAAACAATATGAACCACTGCATGGACTTGTTGTTGAGTCTATTGAGGACTGGATGAGGTAGTGCTAATGTTTGTAACTAATTTGTTACTGTTTGAAGGCTTTTTGGTGACTGATAAAAACTGCTTATGCTGCATTATTGGAAGCATACTTATCCAGAGATCCAGGGGCAGACATCCCGCTCCTCGCCCTCTCTGCAAATGTTTCTCCCGTCGTTTCGACCCTCCCTCGCCCCACTGACTGCCCCTGGGTCCCGTAGGATGGTTGTTTCAACGAGCACAACAAGGAATTGTGACAGAAAAAAGGACAGCAGGAAACCTCAAGAAACATTCTAGCATGGAAATAGATGCACTGATGAGTCGAGATGAGCATGGAGCATGGTCAACACTGGCGCAGAATGTCGGAAGGTATGTCATCGAGTTTCTTACATTCTCTTGTTGGTATTCAATAGACATTTTTAGTCATTTTTCAACTGCCACAATTATCCAGCTTTTCTCTTCTTTTCTTGTGCTAAATTTAAAACCCTAATGGGATGAATATAAAAGCTGCAGGCCAGTGTAATGAATTCATAAAGAAAATGACCTGTTGAGAACAATATATAAACCCTGCTAGATATTACACTGTATAAGAGTTTCTGTAATCTTCAATTAAAGATTATTTTTAAGAAATAAAGGGAAATTAAATTCTTTATCACTTCTATTGCGACACTTGCTCGATAAGACCTTCTCGCCCTTGCGCGTCCATTTTGATTTCGTCTCACGCTTTCTTTCTCATCATGCTCGACAAACTTGCGAAGAAAGGAGATCGGTTTTGTAAAACGCGTTTCATAGAAAATAAAACGACTTCGTGTTTTCACGTTTTTTCCTGTTAATGATCTTTGCCGTAAAGGAGGTCTGTCCCGTTCAAATCACGTACACTTCACGGAAACTTGGGATTACACTTCACGGAAACTCGATACTCCATTGTTTAGCAGATCACGTTTCTCGAACAAAAAACAGTCATAGCACGTTTTACACCCAAAAAATGTCAATTCACAGTCCCCTAAAATACTCTTTACCAAGCCTTTGTCGGTAAAATCCGACCTTGAAACTTTTCAAGGGCACATATTGCAACAATGTTGCACTCAACTTGTTGCAAACGTTTGGCCACTAACTCTAGATCTTGCAAATGCTTGGACAGCGATGTGGCAATACCGGTATATTGGGATGACACATTGCGTGCATTTTTGTCAATAACTACGAAACTTGCGAGCTCTTGTTTTTGTTGAAACATGGAATTAGTCAAAATTTTACTGGAAATGTAATTCAAAATCAAACGACTGTTCTCTTATTTAAAGGGTGACCGTAACGTTGGCTTGAATCTGTCGCCTTTGAATTTCTTTTCGTTTAGGATCAACTACGGGCTAGCTAGGCAGCCTACAAAACAGGCGGTTGGTGCTTGAGGCAGATCGCGGCGCGGAGCATCCTTCACGCTATTCAACTAAATCGGTTGCATTAAACCACTTAGCCGCATAGCTCAGATTTTAATCTTTGGGAATTTCCTTTCCTATCGTCTAAAATGGAAAAATTCTCGATGCCTTTGAAGATCGCAACAAGAGAAAAACTTTTCGTGCGAATCAAGCGAACTGGAGCTGTTTTCACGAAGTACATATTCATTGAAATTGCCAAACTGATATCGAAAATAGCACCTGTCGCAAACACTTGTAAAATTGTCAGAAAATTTGAAAGTTTATGTAAACTGCTAATTGCACTTTGAATTCTTTCAAACTTTGTTAAGTGTGTGCTAAAACTATGTCAACGAGAGCGATCATTTTCTATCATATTCTGTGAAACTGAAAGTAAACAAAATGTGTTTGCGTAGGAAAATGACATATAAATACGTTGCATGAGGTTATCGTAATGCTATCAAGTAGGAAAAATACCGTTTCTACCTGAACTTACTTTCAATAGCACTAAAAGGAACCGGTGTATGTGGCTACTCAATTGAATTACAACACAACAATTGAAGTTTTGTGTTTAAGTATAATTGTGTGTTTGCTTTGTTTAGTTTTACGTTTGCTAAGCTCTTAAGTCACGTAACGTGTTTTTTAATTATTTAATCAGGAACTATGCCAAAACCAGTTGTGAATTGAAAACAGGAAACCTGGGTTTTACAGTTTTTACAGTTCAATCGGCCGAATTCTTCAAAATACGAATACTTGTGTCATAATTTTCCTTTGGTCGTTCCACACCGCGGAGCTTATAATTATCCCGCTTTCCACAACATTTAAAGCGACTGGGTGTATTTCTAACCCCCCCCCCTCCTGGATTGGAGGACAGTCCATTTCAGGACTTCCCCAGAAACTCACCTGCAGGGTGGAGAGAGGTGCTGTAGGAGTAAAGTGCATGTCTTGCCAAAGAACACGACAAGATGACCCCGGCCAGGCATTGAACGCGGACCGCCTTTTATTCGGTGTCATAGGCTTTAACCATGTAATTCGATCGGTTGGTTAATTCTTCATTTCATGAATTTTTTTTTTATTTCGTAACTTGATGGTGCATTTTAACAGCTGTGCGGAGCGAACACTCCCGTTCAAAAAATACACGTATCTGGAAGGCCGCATCAGATGCAAAGCTCCGAAATGATCTATCAACGGCTGTAGATAGACAAATCTTATCTGATTGATATTCAAGTTAACACACGTTGGCAATTGTTTTTTATCATTATTGACTTCCCACGGTTTGGAAAAATACGGCTGAAAGTATAAAATCTAGTTACATATATAAGATTAACATGTATAAATTAAGTCTGTTCTAAGTTTAGGTTAGTTTTTATTTTAAAAAGTCAAAGATTTTCTACTTCTCGGAAAAGAGCTCCCTGAAAAAGCACAATTTACCGTGAAAGAACTACTTTTTTTTTTTTTTTTTTTGCGTCAGTAATATATAAAGTGATTGATTGTTGGGTTATTTCCTTCGTTTCGTTTCATCTCCTTAAGATTACAACCCTTGATTTTTGACACTTTCTAGAAAAAAATTGACGTGTTGAAAAATATATTTTCAGGGCAGCAAATGGTTAAAGATCGGCTTTGCCAAATGCAACCGTTAACAATTTTCCAAAATTGATATCAGATTTATGATAATATTTGAGCGTTTTAGACTTGTTCAGACTGACTTTATCGGTAGATAATGAGGGAACGCTCATAAATAATTCATCAGGGTTTGACATTTGCAGTATTAAAGTTGTGTAATATACCTGTTGTATTTACAAGCTGGAAACATGTGTATATTAAGTGTACGTTAGATCCGAGCACTGCACGTCCGGCGTTGTGTGGGCAAAACTCATAAGGAATTTTAACTGGTGAAGCGAGGAGTTGTTCCGTCGATGTTTTAACTTACTGGCAGTTCAGCTGAGACGAGAGCTGCACCAGAAACAATTTTGTTGTACTTGGAAGTCATTTATAGTGGTGGGTCATTGTTACTATATCGTTCTAATGATTACTTTTGCGTTTCAATTTCTCCTTTCCTGTATGCGATGCTAAACGAAATGTTTTTCAGGAAATTTGTCCTAGAGACTTTCTACATAGACATTTTAGGTTGTAAATTAAACGTCGCCAAATGACTGCTTTTAAGCGATATCACAGTAATTAAGTATCACTTGTATCTGCTGGTGAAAGCTTGTAAGAGCTGAAAGTTAACGAGCTTTTCCATGTACATTTGGAAGTAGAAGAAACCTTGTGGTAAAAGTCACAACCATGTAGGGGCCGCTTTGCTGCTAACAATAGAGAATGATACGGGTTTGCAAGCAAGGCTCACATCGGCGGTAAAATGGGATTACAGAATCAATTGACCAAAGCAGTTGAAAACTAGTTTGCTCGACGTCACCCAACTTAGCATTACCTTTTCTATTTGATTTACATTTTACGCCTCAATTTTCTCCGTCCCCTCTGTGACCGGAACTATAGAAATGTATCATTTTTGTCTGTAATTCATTTTACAAAAGATATATTGCACAGCGGAATATCATCGAAGTAAGGTGATAACAACGGTGTTACATGTAGTACGAGTTTTGGTTTTGGCACGTTTCAATTCTAACAAGCGGACGATTATATACGAGGTATAACACTAATACGAATGGTGAACGATCAAGCGAGTTTGTCGGGTATTGTCAACGAAATGATTTCAATATTTACGCGTCCAAAATGTAGATGCGCCGAACGTCACCGAACGTAAAAATGTTTTATTGCATTTCAGTTGTAGTGAAGTTTTCGCTGCTGTCCACTAAACAAACAAATGTTTGCAAATTGAACAAAAATTAAAATATCACGAAAACCAATCAAGTTGATTCGTTCAAAGTGCAGATATTAATTAAAAGGAAATTTGGCCATTTTATGCATTCATTTTGCGACGTCGTTATATTCTTGTTTACTCGGCGAAACCTCCAATAAGGGAGATATACTCTTATTGATTTCCACGGGTGTCTGTTAAGGCAGAGCAAAATTAATATCATAGCCAACTGGCGCAAAATACTTGATCTATAAAGTTTTAATTGTTTCGGGTAGAATTTAAATTTTACACCTAATCGCACCTTTTTGGCACGCTTCGGCGGCGCAGTTGTGCGTTTCGTAAACGGTCGATGCCAATTTCGCGACACTTAGAAATTTTTTTAACTATCAACGAATTTTTCTCTACAAAATTAAAGAAAAAAAAAATTGTAAGTAACCACCCAGTCTCGAACCCGAATCCTCTGTTTCCTAATTTCCTTCTTCTACCACTACACTACCAGGTTGATCCGCCAAATCTCCGCAAAATTTAATTATAAGACGTGACTTTCTTAAATATTAATGATAGAGTTGCCCCAGCCATCAAATAAAAGCTGAACCGCAAGCAAACCAGAGTGAATATGAACAATCAAGAATTTGACAAGTTCGTTTTACTCAATCAACAAATTAAAACCAGTTTCTACCTTGTCCAGGCCTATACTTAAGCAGATATGGCATCGTCCATTCTGAGAGGCTTGGTTACCAATGATGGCATCGACCGTTAAAAATGGTATCGACCGCTTACGAAACGGAAATCAGCTTCGGCGGCATATCAGGTCAGTTTGGTCGAGCCATGGTTCGTATTTTGGCGAGACGCAGTTGAGACAAAATACCCACGGCGAGATTAGGCCAGTGACTTTATATGGCAGGATATCAGGATAGTACACACGGCTTCTGATTGGCCAGTTGCCAATTTTGGCACGGAAATCATACAATCTGTGGCGTTTCTCTGAATGAACCAATCACAAAATACATTCCTTGCGCGCATCCTTTGGTATCCTTCGGTGGGGAAAAACCAATTTCGTCTATCTTCGGGCGCCTTTGAGTCAGTGATGCTGGTTGCGATATACTCCTTGAAAACCCTAACGATCAAGTACAATTTTTAACCAATCATTGGCGACAATTTTTGAAAAGAAACAATTGAAGATAATTTACCCGCGTGCGACTTCCAACGGCGGGGAGGTAAGACAACCATCAGCTCAGATTCCAACCAATCATCTGCGACGTTCCTCTAAATAAACCAATCACAAAATACGCTGTTTGCGAGCTTCGTGTGGTAGCGGGAAAGTTCTGAAGAACGCTTTGAAGTGGCCGCGATATAAAACTGTAGTCAAGAAAAGACTGGGACGAAATTTTTAATAATTAATACATGTTGTGATGTTTTTGTCTAAATAAACCAACTGGGAAATATATTTTGTGTGCGCGTTTTCTAGTGGCGGAAAGTCTTTGAGGAAAAACTTTTGAAGTACTTTATTTCGTCGAGAATTTAATTTTAAAAAATCTCGTAGTGGGTTTGGTGAAATTCCCTGAAAGCTCACCTCCCGTCAAAGCGACTGCATTTTCAGTTGCTATCTTTTTCTATGCAGCGATCGACGCAAATTATTTTTTCTTCTCTTAGAATTTCTTGCTTAGACTGACTAGCTGTCAGCTCTCGGTTTCGTAAAACGACCGTTCTGAGTTGATACAATTCCTTGGCAACAGTAATGTAAATAGTCAGTTAGTGATTCTCAAGAAGTTTATTTTCAGTTTTCAAAATTCCTTTCCATAGGTATTCTTTACTGTGTTCCCAATTAGCATCGCATAGCAGTGTTGAATACATTGGAACTTAAAATAAGGAACTTACATGTTTAACTATTTCTTAAAACGTGTTCGTTCGACACAAGTTTCTGAAATGCTTTGTATTGTTCAGCGCGTCTTCCATCTTAAAGCTGTTCATGTTTTCGCTTCCGCATGACGGAAGAATCGCTTTGTTTTGTTACTAATCTTTGAAATTTTTCCTCGAAAAAACCCAGCGTCGATATATCCGCATTATTTCCCCACAAACTTGTAAAATAGTGCAAATCGAGAACACAGTTTCGTCGACATCTGGGACAGACCTAGCAAAACGTTCCGAAACGAAATTAAAATTCGAGCAATTAAAAGGTAAAATATAATTAACGGAAATCTACTGTCGATTTTGAGCTCTTAAATGTCAAATTACGGCGACAACTTATACATAGGACATTCGCTTTGAATCAAGTTAAATTTAATTGTGCGCGCAAAAAAGAATTAATGCGTCTTCATTCAATTGTTGTAAACGATACTCTTGAATTCAGCCAGAAGTGCTGGGGAAATTAAAAGGAGGAAGTATAAAAGTGGTAAATACAAGCTTCGAGATATTTAATTTCGTTTGAATTCAATACCATCTTTTTCAGTGTAAATATAAAGTTGTCAAGAACCGTTGTCCCTTCTCGAAATACTGTTTACCGTGAAAAAGTAGTTTTGTACTAAGTTCATAGGCGTTTCTGTGGACACTAATGCGTGAAGGGTTTTGGAGTTTTTATCTTAGAGAGAGTAAAAACGGGACAACTGACAGAAATCGGTTCTAAAAGAAGATATTGATATTGTTGGGCCGAGTACTGTATTCGTTGTTTAGTACGAAAAAGGAAATTATCGCTTTAAATACATCTGTGTTAATTTGCTTTGCCAACGTCAAGATCGGCGTTTCTGTCGCTACGTTGACAAGACGAAGCAGCTGATACGCGCTGTTGGCAAATTAAAACTTTCCTAGTTGACATCAAATCGAAAGGAAGAGAAAAATACAACTCGGATATCACGAAAGCGCGGTGAGCTTGGAATGGCGTCTAAAAACGTGAAAGATCAGAGGTTTGGTTGAATCGTCTGCTAACAACTTTTCATTGCATTATGGGCTTTCGCGAACTGCACGCTGCCATGTTTTTTTTAGTTCCACTCAGTTTAATTAAACTGTTCCATGTACTTAACAAGGCGATTCCGTGACGAAGTATATGTTTAGGAGAAGTCTAATCTGCTTCTGTGTCTCTCGTTTTTTTGTTTTTTTTTTTTTCACTCAGGAAAGACGAGTCTGCAATGGATACTTCAGAGAAAGGTGTGATTATGTTCAATGTTTAAGCTGATAACCAGTGATTTAATTCAGCCCTATCTCTCTCCAGGGCTATTTTTCGGTGGGTTAGCTCTGATTATTTAGTAGTGACTTCAATTCTTGACTTAAAACGGCGGCAAAACGCACATCAAAGTAAATGTTCTTCTATTACATCAATAAAAAGTGATGCCGTTCGTCAACGAGTTGCATGAAAACAGGCCGAAACTGAGACTGATACTAGAAAGAAACAATGTTTAAAGCTAAATTGTCATTATACGTTCGTTTTGTGGTTGACATGTCATCTATGCACATCATTTTACATAAAAACTTTGATTAAATTTAATGAAAAACACTTTTGTTTAATATGTAGTGCTGTTATTCAGTTGTTCGCGCCGCGTTGTTGGGGTATCAATGCTCAAAGCACGCTTGACATTTCTCTCACAATTGTCGTTTGTTTATGGTTTATTGCTATCTTGTTGGTGTTTTCCTATCTTAGTAAACAATTATTTTCAGGTTTCCCTCAATATAAAGGTAATTTTGTATGTGGCCAAAATAACTCAAAAGAACGTGACTGAGCTCCTTTAATGCTAAGTTGTTTTAAACCCGTTTTTTTTAAAGAACGGTTTCTCATTGAAGGTATGTTGTTTTTGCAGCCTTTGTAAGTCCAAGGAAACCTAGTGTAATGGAAGGAAGGATTGAAGACACGTTTTACAAAGATCTTAAACGTGAATGGAGATCTGGCAGCATAGCTGTGATGACTGATTCGTTCAAGAATCTCCCTTTTGTTGTAAGTACTAAAGTTACATTTGTTAAGACCCGGGACACTTTTCATTTGTATGAAAAAATCTGTTTTTCTAGTGGTAAACCAAACGGAACAGGCCTTTCCATTTTCCACGGGTTTTTTTGGAAAATTTGGAATATTTTCGGAGCTATTCCTCTTTTCTCGTTTTTACTGGAATGATCGGAAAATCACTGTTCCATTTGCTTTTTCACACTATTCCGATGCTTCTTGATGAAATACGCTGTCGTTTCGATGGGAAATGCAATGGCATTCATTCTCCGCGGTCAATATTTTGCTGACGACCTCAACCGGAAAACAGAAGGTTAATGGACTAATGGACAGACTTGGCCTAGGACCCGGAGCCCATGACCCAAACGCATTGTTTTCTGCGTTTCTGGGAACGTTGCACGGAGTGTTTGATTGGTACCATAAACATACTTGCCGTTGTGGTCTGATAGCATACACACCAAAAAACTCAAGCTTCAGCGAGGTTGCGTAGGACTGTCGCGCGAGTCAAATCATCAACAGTTATTAATTTTTATTGACGATTTCATCAGTTCCAAAGACTTAACCCGGCCGTGCTTTTTATCAGCTTTCCCCAAACTGAATGAGTCGACCCTGTAGCTTAGTTCTCCACTTGCCACCATAATAATAACCTTTTCCTTTTAATTTTATTTGCGCTCATATGTCATGTAACCTTTTAGACTTGATCAGTGTCGCAAGATGTGTTTCAATTTATCTCAGTGTACTTCTAATTCGAAAGGCTTACTTCTATGCTTAACTATCTTTTGGCGCCGGGACTTACTCTACTTATCCTATATCCTGGAACCTCATATATTTTGCTCTGCTTTTAAGTCAACAAAAATTGGGGAGTAGGGATGGGTTGAGTTTGTTTTATCGCGCCCTGCTCCGAGAGTTTTTCGCCGGGTTCTCCGTTTTTCCTCCCTCCACAGAAACATATTCCAATTTGACCAGGATAGAGGACCCGGATGAAAACCAGCTAAGGCTCATGTGGCTTTCTCTCTAAATATTGTAATTTGTTTTATTTCGTTTGTTCATTTTAATTGTTTACATCACTGAAATCACACTATACCCACACAAAACATGTTGCGCTACTTTTGGTGCCATGTATCGCGGAAGCAGAAATGCGTTAAGTTACAATCACTTTACTAAAGTTGCCACGTTATGTATAATTAGAGACTGGTTTCAGACGCCGGCCCCCAACCGCTCTTTCTAACATGACGGAAAGAAATCAGAGATATTTCTAGAAAAAAAAACAGCGGGATTCTGGCCAGCTTGCCTCTTTGACTGTCCGTTGCCTTGGAAATGAAAGTCTTTCGTCTCGTTACGGACGAAAACATCTGCATCGCGCGCACTTCATTGACAAAGACCGAACGAAACGAATTTTTAAACGTTTCTTCAGTTCACATGGCCAAGAAGAACGTTTCTTGCTGATATTTTGGTTTCCTCTGTGACATGTTAGTGATGAAGCGGCTGCAATGAATATTCTTTCAACGAAATCTTTGTTCGGTTCTCAGGGGAGCGAAGAGGTTAGTGTGCTATTTTTTTCGCTAGTGTAATTAGAAGTCGTTCTATCAGCGAAATCGATAGCAACGGGAAAACGTATTGCTTTAATTATTTGTTCATCACGCTGGAATGGAAATTTTATTTAAGGGGTATTTCCTCTCTTAAGCATCAAACTTACATATGCAGGTAGCGGCACTGTTCTTTCTACAAGCACCGGCATATTGTACAATATTTATTGATTTATTGGTAAACTTGTTGCATTGTTTATTTTAACTGAACTTGTGAGGGAAAAGAAGAGAGCACGGATCCGGGGAGGAATTCAGTAAACGGCTCGTCAATCAGTTTCATTGTCGGTCAATTTAGTTTTAAAATCGTGTTCAGACTGCTCAGATGAGCGTGCAGTCTGTAAATCATTATTAATTAATTAAATGGTATTGCATTACAAAGCTTCTTTTGAAATTCAGACTTCCAGCTGCAACGGTTTTTACACTTTGCGTTTATCGCACGAAACTTTCACGACACGAAGATTGCTTACCATTTAGCCAAAGAATCCGGAAATTTCGGCTGATAGTCGAGCCAAGTCAAATCTGTTTGGACATTGCAGACACCCTCCAGAGCAGTTTGAAGCGGTAAATTGGAAATTCCTTGCCATGTGCTGAAATTCCAGTTTCTGAGTTTCCAGTCTCTCGTCAACGGGGTAAACAATAATGGCAAACCCTAAATGGCACGTGCCATCTAGTTCGATTGATTTGCTGGTCAAATTTTGAAAAAAACCTTTACCACTATCATTCGATGCAGTTTTTCTTCTTTTTCATTGGCCGAGGAACCAACCACGTGATCTGCAAATAAGTGCCTGCAAGTAATGGACTGCTCATGCGTAGTACCGTCTACTGTGTTTTGCTACAAACAACATTCTTCTCATGCGTAATTGTAACCACGCTTTTGTGTGAAAAAATGGCAGATCGTTGACGTGAGCTGTTAGAGAGTGATTTAACATCTTCAGTTGAAAACAAACTTGGTGACATGATAACACAATTATATATTGAATTTGTTTTTCGCAAAATATCGCGATTTGTCAAATCTGTTATGTTCTCGCCACCGACAAATCACGATATTTTGCTCAACCTCGTCCAATAATTGTTAATTCTTCAACCGTTGTCTCAACCGCAATTCCTCTCTCTTTAAGAATTGCTCAGCTCTCTTGCGATGAATTAAGAAATGATTTACAATTTCTCTTGTTCAATTAAGCGAAATTAAGCTGTCACGAAAATGGACAAAAATGTTTGTTAATTAGCTCATTCGGCAGTTTGGCAGAAGTTTTTCAATAGTATAAAGTAAAACATTTTTATCAAAAATGAAAAACGACATTTTGAG